GCTCAGGAGTTACTACGGCAACAGGGAGACTTCCTCGTTAGGGAGAGCCATGGCAAACCGGGCGAGTATGTCCTGTCTGTGTTTTCTGACGATCAGAGGCGTCACTTCATCATCCAGTATGCTGATGTACGTGCGATTACACACACATATACACACACTTCATCATCCAATATGCCGACATATATTCACACACAGTAACCCGGTGTGTGTGTGTGTGTCTCTCTCATATGTTAAGCTAATGTCTCTCACCCTCTCTGGTAGAATCAGTACCGTTTTGAGGGGACGGGCTTCACCACCATCCCTCAGCTCATTGAGCATCACTTCACCACCAAGCAAGTCATTACCAAGAAGTCTGGTGTCGTGCTGCAAAACCCCGTTGTAAAGGTAGCCCCTCCTACACCCACATACAATTGTGCATTCAGGTTAGTTATCATGATGGTATTTGGTGCTCACTGGCTGTTTTTTCTCTGCAGGACAAGAAGTGGATCCTGAACCATGAGGATGTGGTGCTGGGGGACCTGCTGGGAAAGGTAAGGCATCTACCTCTCCTTATACTCATCTTTCACTCACCGCCTTCATTTCCCATGGTTCGTTGTTGTCTTTTTTACAGGGTAACTTTGGCGAGGTGTACAAAGGGACTCTGCAGCGAGACAAAACACCAGTCGCTGTGAAAACGTGTAAAGAGGATTTACCTCCAGAGCTGAAGATCCGCTTTCTGTCTGAGGCCAGGTGAGCCCTTCATGCAAGCACCATCAACATCATCATCATCAACAACAACAAATCAGTCAGTAGCAAATCAATCAAACAGTTTTTACACCACATATCGGGAAACAGCCCAAATGTCTGTCTGTGTACTCCCTGTCAAACTTGGGTTGTTATGTCAGCATCTAATCGGGCGATGTCAGACGTCCTTTTCTCCTTTTCCTGCTGGAATGTCGGTGTTCCCAGAGCAGTAATCCCTCCATAGTCCTGAGTCTCCTCCCATCTCAACAGGTCCAGAGTCTTCCGCCTTCAGGTAGAAACCCTGAAGGTAGAAAACAGGAAACCCTCTTCTATACCCGCTGAGTCCGAGCTGAATGTTGAGGGCACGGTTTTGACTTTGGAGGCCAAACCTGAACCCTAAATCATTATCCACGGTGGCAGAAGAGAAGAAGAGAGAATTATAAAGCAAGTTCAGAAAGTTCAACCCATTTATCAGCCTCAGGAACAGAAAGATGTGAGTTTAAAAACCCGGAAAAAGGTTCATCACACCAAGGTCGACTTGCGCTCCCGCAGTCAGATCCTCCTGGATTTGGTATTTAGAGTAACAGTCAGTAGGTGGAGCTCTCAGTTCTGATGTCCAAGAAGTGATGGTCATTAGGGTTGTCTCAAACTGTAGATGGGACAGTCAGAGAAAGGCCAAAACTACATTGCACCTCTTCTCCATAAGGGAGGCTGAGCAGAGTGATACCTGATCACAGCTTTGGTCCTTGTGTTAAAGAAAGGATCTGTTGTGCAGTTCTGCCGCTCCACTGGTTCTGTCTCAGAACTCTATATGACATTAAAGACATGGATCAAAAAGGAGCTCCCCCTAGCATTCACCCCTCACTCTCTGTTTAAGTTTGCCAGGACTCTGATGAGGCTTCACCGCCTTCTAATCCTCCTCAGCGCTCAGCTCATCTTCAGCCAAACGTATTACACGTGGCCTTAGATCAGCTGATACAATGCAATCAGTGACCTTTGGCCTTCGGGGAGTGAGGTGGATTGAGGTGCTTATGACCTTCCATACCTCCAACACTTTTGTTTTTTTTAGAGCAGGCTGATGACCCCGTGACACCTATAGGTTTCTCTGGATTTCACCCAAAGACTCTGAGAGGATCGGGCACTTTGACCTGTTACCTGACTAAGGTCAGGTAACAGGTCAAAGTCTTACAGAGACATCCTGCCTGAGGAAAACTCTGAACCAGAGGCACTGTGAGTATCCCACACCTGCCCAGAGTCCCGCCTCCTCCAGGAGTTTGTTCCAGAAAGAGAAGCATGGGATAGTTACCTCTAACCAAAGAAAGAGGTGATGATCACGTTCAGAAATTAATTAAACAGAGTGAGAAATATAAAAAATGGCCTCTCTGGTTGGCTTAACACTTACTCTGCTCCTCTCTGATTGGCTGAACGCTCACTCTGCTCCTCTCTGATTGGCTGCAGGATCCTGAAGCAGTATGACCACCCGAACATTGTGAAGCTGATTGGCGTTTGTACCCAGCGACAGCCGATCTACATTGTCATGGAGCTCGTTCCTGGTGGGTGAAGCTTAAATTGAGTGAACTTGTATTGTTATTGGTCGGTTTCTAACAGGTGTGTCTTGTGAGTCCAGGTGGAGACTTTCTGTCATTCCTGAGAAAGAAGAAGGATGAGCTGAAGACCAAACAGCTGCTTCGCTTTGCAGTTGATGCTGCAGCCGGGATGGCGTACCTGGAGAGCAAAAACTGCATCCATAGGTAACCACGGTTACGGCGCGGTTATGAAACCCGTCAAAACTTTGCAGAGAATTGTTCTTGCCATCAAACTCGGAGTGAGTTCAAAGTTTAAGTATTTTCTGAGTTTAAACATCGTGTATGCGTGTGTGTGCGTGTCTGTGTGTGTATCTCAGGGACCTGGCAGCGAGGAACTGTCTTGTCGGGGATAACAGCGTGCTGAAGATCAGTGACTTTGGGATGAGTCGTCAGGAGGATGACGGCATTTATTCTTCTTCTGGACTCAAACAGATCCCCATAAAATGGACTGCACCTGAGGCGCTCAACTATGGTAACACACACACCTGTACCTGAGATGCCTGTTGATTTTTAAAGAAGCTGTTGAGTCTGTGACAGAAGTTAATAAGAACAGAGCAGAGAGTGGCTGCTGACTGTGTGCTGCGCTGTGATTGGGCGCTGCAGGTCGTTACAGCTCAGAGAGCGATGTGTGGAGTTATGGTATCCTCCTGTGGGAGACCTTCAGTCTGGGGGTATGTCCTTACCCGGGGATGACCAATCAGCAGGCTCGAGAGCAGGTGGAGAAAGGTAAACACTCAGATAATCAATCACCTGCATCACAAAATCAGTGATGTCATCAAGCAGTGACCATGTGTTCCTGGTTGCTAGGTTACAGGATGGCTTGCCCTCAACGTTGCCCTGACGATGTGTACAAAGTGATGCAGCGCTGCTGGCAGTACAGCCCCGAGGACCGGCCCAAGTTCTCCGAGCTGCAGCGGGACCTTGCCGCTATTAAGAAGAAGTGATGAGGTTGATGAGGCCAATCTGAGAACACTCCCTTAAAAGATCGCCAATCGCAGACTCCGAGATCAAAACACGAAACACTGCATTACAGGAAGGACGCCAGCCTCGAGTCAAGAAACTGAATTGATAGATCGATCTACACTAAATGATAAAGAAACAGAGAATAAACAAACAGAGAGTAAACAAACACTGAATCAATAACAACACTACAAACAAACAGAAGCTGCTAAAATGTTTGTGCAAGCTTTTTTTTTTTTTTTTTTAAACTCAAGTATTTTTATTTTTTAGTTGAAACGATGTGAAGCCCCCTTCTGTTATAACGGCCACACATCCTTCCCTTTGACCATCAGCTCTGAACACTAAAACTGTTTTATTTAATTTATCTTTTATTTCTGCCATTAATCTGAAGAAGCTTTTAGTTGGGAAAATCTTAAAATCTGAAAGATCTAAAAGACAGGAACCGCGTGCGGTAACTGAGCCCACATGTCATTGAAATCAGTTTAAACTTAATTGAAGACACTAACTTGAACAAAACAAAAATGTGTTCCAACAAAAACTAAAAACACTAAAAAATAAAAATGTTTACGCCCTTTTTTAGGGGGTGGGGTTTCTCTGCACATCACTGCTGATTGGTTAATAGCGCATGATGCAGTTTCATCACACAGACCACGCCCACAAGCTTTTTTTTTTTTTTTTTTGTCCAGAAAGTTTCTTAGACCAAACATTTTGGATTTTTATCACCAGCACTTTGTATATGTTCGGGTTGCCATGTGTTCAGACTAAAAGAACTGTGAGTAGTGTTTGGTAAGCATCACTTCTTGGACATCAGAGCTGAGAGCTCCACCTACTGACTGTTACTGTAAATACAAGTTTTTCTGAGTTCCGACACTAATTGTCTTTTTAAAATATTATTGTTGTACCTTTATTATGAAAATAAACTGTATGAAAATAAGCCAATGTTTGATGTCCATTCAAAATGCTGGAACAGCACAAATGCAGTCCAGAGGTGTAGTTCAGCATTTACAGCTACACCACTGTGTTACTTTTCACAGCCACAGCTTTTCAGCCAAAGAGGCCATGCCTCTATGCAGACTTTAAGCAGGTGAGTTAAGAAGGAGTAAATTGGCTATAACGATCTGAGCCCTAGGTGATGCCTGATAGTCATAACTGTGGTGATGTGTTGCTCAAGAACAACATCTGCTGGATTTTAAAGACATTGCAGGTAACCTGGATGTAGAAGGTGGAGAGGGTCTGAACTAGGTTAATTCTGGACATCAAATCAGTGGTGAATGGTTCTTGTTTACATAACCAGGATAAAGCGCTAACTGAATGAGAGAAGTGTATTTATTTAAATTAAGTTGATTATAAGAAAAAGATAATGCAAATGCAGAATTTACGAGGAAGTATAAGTGAAAAATGTGAAATGTGAGTGGAGAAGACACATTTATTTGCAAATGACATAATGTTAATACATTTGAAAAAAGCAATTGGAATTTAACTGCTCAGTTCCCGTCTGAGTTAAAAGCGGAAACGGGACCTTATTTAGCATTTTGATATCAAAATTTTTACAGACAAATTATGTTTAGTGGATTGTACACTAGATCATAATTGAGCCAAAAATGTAAACTGTCAAACAGCACCAGAGATGGCCTCCTGTCACCATAAATACACGAGTCTAAACTTTTGAACTCCATCTCTGGTCCTCTTAATGGGGGGGGGGTTTAAAAAAAAAAAAACGATACTCCAAAGATTATTCTGCTCAAACTTTATTCATCATTAAAACTGTAAACTTCCAAATAAGGTCGGCAGGGTCGCCGGTTTAGGGTGGGGCTTGTAGCCGATTCGGTCATTGATAAGCTCTGCCCTTGATGCGGCTGTGGAGGACGATGCTGAGGCAGAGGCTCCACCCCCAATTACATCAACACCAATTACAGATGCCCCACCCACTCCACCTCCCGACTCCGCCTCCTCTCGCTGACGTTTTCTGGCCTAAAGAAAAAGAAAACCTGATAATGTCCTGTTTGAAGTTTACTTCCTTTAAAGTGTCAGATGTTACTGATTGTTATTCATTCTCATTTACTATTATTGATTAATTGATTGATTGGTACAAAAGTGAGTAGACCTCAAGCTCCTTCTTGACGCTCTCAAACTCCTCAGTGTCGTCGATCTTAAGCTCCAGACGAGTCGGTTTCCTCCTCAACATTTTCAGTTTGAGTCCACACTGAAAGCAGACAATCAATACATCGATTGAGTGATCAGATTTGCTTTTTGACATGCTTAGTGAATGGTGAAAATGATTCACCTCCAAGCTCAATGTTCTATAAACCTGCTGAATATGATTTACTGCACACATGTCCTGGACATTTTCAGAATAAAACATCTCACGGTTCTATTGAAGTCAGTGTAGCCAATCAGAACCCTTCCTGCATCCTCCAGATGCTTTCGTGGCCAAAAAAATTCCCACGTGTGGGACTAATAAAGGGTTATCTTAGCTTATCCTTACGGGCTTTGAGGTTGATGGTGGCACAAAAAGAAACAAGCTGTTGTGTTTTTACTGTGAATATCATGAGGCTGTAACACCTGGCTGTAATTTAAAAATAAAACCTTAGAAAACCACAACTTCTGTTGTCATGATGATGCCTACATTGAGCAGGATGACTTCAAAAGTTTTCAGAGGAAGAAAAAAAGTCAAGTGATGAAGGTTAAAGGATCAATAGATCATTAGCTCAGACACAGGAGCTTTAATTAATTCTGAAATCTGATCAATAACAGCAATCAGTTTCAGTTATCGTTTCCATCAGATCAATAATTAGGATCGACCAGATCTAAAAAATGTTTCCTGATATTTGTGATCAGAATCACTGATCACGCTGTTTGATCTCTGTGTTTGATCCTGATAGTGAACTATTGATATCAAGCCACAGCAGGAGTCCAGGTAACTTATCACCACGGCAACACTGACTCCCTAAGTCTTCTCCTGATTATTGACGTCAGGGTAACCGAGAGATACCCGGGGTAAGGGCATCAGGGCGGAGCTCAGGGCGTCCAGCTGCTTCTGAAGCAATATAAACTAAACTACACCTACCGTTCAGACAGGAACCAGCAGCATGATTAGCTCGCTTGCTTTTCTAAAGGATGCTCTGGAGGTTATACAGACACATTTAAAGGTCTCATCTGACTGGCTGCTGAAATATCTTATCTATAACAGTCTCACCTCTGACCCCTAACCTTGCCGCTCCTTAAGTCGCCACTCATGGGCACTGTGCGCATGCAGATGGGTTTCACAGAAGCTAAGCTAAACTAAACTAAGCTAAGCTGCGCTAAAGTAAAGTTGCAGTGACGTTACAGTGACCGGTAACAGACAGTCCTTGCGGATACCCTCAGTGTGAACAGGTGTGCAGGTACCTGATAGAGGAGTTGTAATGCTCTTTCCTGCCGTTTCTCTCTCTGTTTATTTTCTGCAGCGGCTGCGTCCACCGGAAGTGTGCAACTTCTGACCCGGTGGCACTTCAGGGAAGAACTTCCGGGTGACGGAGCTCCGCGTCGGCGCGTCGTTCGTCTCCTCCGGTAAGTTTCTCTCATTCAACGGTTTAACGGCATTCTGAACCGCTGTGTTCAACTGCACCGGTGAGAGAGACGTCAAAGCGTAGATCAGCCATACTCTGCTCTACCCCCTCATCCGTTAGCGCGTGCTCCGGCACGTTACAGACACTCAGCCCTTGAAGAGGCTCTGGGTTCGCGCTGTCCACTGACTCCGGTGAGCGCGAAGCTTTACCTGAAACACACAGGTGAGAAACGGTGAGGAGTTACCGATTACTGATCGGTGCAGAGCTGCAGGAGGACGCTTAGAGGTCTGAGCTACGAAGCTCTGTTTTCGTTATTATTGACCCTAACACGGGGACGGGGTCAAAGGTCACCTAGAGCGGCGCCTGTAAATATGTCCGTGGTCTTGAAACTAATCACCAAATTGAATTCAGCACAGCATGTTCTCAGCCTGATTCTGCGAAGGCCGTTGTTGTGCCACAGGGAACAGCCTGTGAAAAACCAGGGTGGAGTTTTAAAGCAGAACAAAGATTCAGATGTACTGATGGAGGTCAAAAGTCTGCTGGATTTACTGAAGACGCCTTAAACGTTGAAACGAGGCGCAACGGTGGTACACAGTGTATTACAACTGGATGAATATTCACAAGCTTAAACTTACTGAACAGCTCATAGAGTTCTTAATGTTTAGAGAGTTTATGTAAATTTAATGTAAGAGCTGATGTGTACTTAATGTAAAAGAGTTCAGCTGTGAGTTTAACAGCTTCTGTTAAAAACTATGAATATATCAGCACCTTATGGATGAAATAGAAAAGTTATGATGAAAAATTTCATGCTCTGCTCCACTTTGGTTATTATATCATTGTTTTCATGGTCAGATAAGTCTGTCACTATGAATTATGGGACTCCTCCCCTTTCATAAAGGATGCTCCAGTGTCTCGTCTGTTCAGTAAAGGAAGTGTTGAAGCTCCTTTCCTTAGTGTTTGGAACAGGTCTGAGTGTGGCCACCACGCAGATCCTTGTGGGTCACGTCTCTCAGTGAGGAACCTTAAAAATGGACTCTTAACATAACTTACTCCAGAAACATTAACGCAGTGTTTTTCTCTCAGTTGCAGACGCGTTGCTGTTTAAGAAGACTAAATTAAATCTAAAAACTGACTTGACCTGAGGTCATCAGGTACAGCACAGGTGTTTTAAGCCCCCTTTCCATTAGTACTCACCACAGTTTCCAGGGTTTTCCATCAGGTCATAGTACCTGGTACCAGGTACTTTTTTAATACCTGCTGTGCTGGGGTTCCAAGCAGGTACTTAAATGTGACATCGTCAGACTGCATGCCACTGATTGGCTGGTCAGTGGCGTCACTCAATGAGTCATGAGAGCGTCTAGTTCACGAAAATCAAAAATGTCATTTTTGAAACCAGGCAATGAAAGGAAATGGCTACAAAAAACAATGCCCTGTTCCCTGAGTCTAACGAAAAGCCACAACCCGAGCAGCAGGTATATCGTCGCCTCCACGTCCACCTTTGTTGTAGCATTCGTGTTTGATATTAATTACTTCACAGGAAACTGAGCAGCGTTGCTATAACAATGATCACACAGATCAGGTGGTACTTGATTGTTATGGAAAACCAGTCGTACTAATGGAAAAGGGGCTTTGTGCTCAGATATTGTTGCTTAGACAGGAATAAAACTGAGTATTTACTACTGACGACCAGGGAAACGCACCCTGCAACTCTCCCTGCAGAGCTCTGACGGATCATCCAGGAATGGTGATTGGTCAGTAGGCGTGATTTCATACCTGTTGATCTCTAACCTGGGGTAAATCCCATCAGTTACCACAGTGATTTACACGAGGAGGAAGTTTCCGACCTTAATAGTACAGAAACCCAGCATAACATGAAGTTACCTGGATGAGAGGAAATCCATGCCTCAGGTGCAACACCTGTCTGTGACCCACACCTGTAGGCCAGTGAGGTGGAGCTCTGCGGTGAGATTAACGTGTCAGCAGGTGCGTTAAGGTCATTTCATCATTGTAACAGATGCTGATCAGCTGATCACTGTGAGCATGTCATTCTGTCTGACCGACAGCAGCGAGTGAAGCTGAGCAGGAAGTTGCAGCAGCTCAAACAGGAAGTTAAAAATAAAGGTGTTCAAGTATAGTAAGAATCTGCTGCTGTGTCTGATTGACATTGCTGATTGATCACTTATTCCTGATCAGGGTGATTGTTTGCGCTTCAGCCACTCTGCTGCTGCTCAATGGATCAATAAGGTTTTTCTTCTGAGCAGTTTTTCTTTTTGTCATTAAAAATGTCACCTTTATCTTCCTCATGTGTGTTTGTTGTTTCTCCAGAAAAAAGAAGTCAATATGTCCGATGAGGAGGATGTGGCTCCGGCCGTGAAGAAGAGCAGAGTTTTCTATGGAAGCCTGGAGGAGAAAGAGCGGGAGCGTCTGAGCGCCAATGTGGCGAGCAGCTCAGCAACAGGAAGTGATGCAGTCAGGGCGGGAATTGAGGCAGGAAACATCAACATCTCATCAGGTTAGCTGTTTGTTCACCGTTTCTCTGATAAAATGTCTCTTAAAAATTATTAGAAATTAGAAGAACCTCCACCCTCTCCTGATAACAGTGCCGACAGTCAAGGCGCTGATCAATCATGTGATCAATAATATCTGCTCAATCAGATCTGTGATTAATTGATAGCAGGAAGTTGGTTGACTCTGTTTTTCCTTGATGCCCTGCAGGGGAGACTCTGGAGATTGAGGAGCGGGTCAGTGAGCGGCAGCAGGAAGCGCTTGCTGAGTTTGAGCGACGGCGACGAGCCCGACAGATCACTGTGTCCACTGATGATGCTGAGGTGAAAGCCGGCCTCCGTGCACTGGGGGAGCCAATCACGTTATTTGGAGAGGGACCTGCTGACCGCCGCGAAAGGTGGGGCAAAATAACTTCTGTAATCTTCTGTAGAACACTCTCAGCAGTCATCTTAGAAATATTTTGGGCCAATAATTTAATTAAAAAACCTGTCAAACTTTGTCAGTGTGACAGGGAGGAAGCAGGAAGCAGACAGGAAGTAAAAGTGTGTGTGTGTGTGTGTGTGTCTTCAGGCTGCGCAGTGTGCTGTCCGTGGTCGGTCCGGACGCTCTGAAGAAATCCAGGAAGGACGAAGAGCGAGCGAAGAGGTCGCAGGATGAGGTCAGCTGACCTGGAGTGTGGGTGGGGCTTCAGAACACCTGGTTGCATGATCTAAACATTTTCTCTCTGACCAATCACAGTGCCAGCAGACATGGTACCACGAAGGCTCCGCTTCCCTAAAGGATGCTCGGCTCTGGTTGGCCAGATATTCTCTTCCCCGGTGAGTCATCATCAAAGTGTGAGAGGAGGAGGAGCAAAGACAACCACTGAGTGTACCGCTTCTACCAGACTCCTCTCTCAGTAACTAGGCAGGGCACCACACTGAGTCTTTATATCACAGAAGGACAAAAGAGCTAAAAATCCCTCCGTCTCAAACCCGCCTGGTGAAGACGTAAACATCAACCTTAACCTTCACCACTGAACGCTGTGTTTTATGTTTCATGAACCGCCATATCACCATGACAACCAATAACCAATCGGTAATATTATATTTGGTCTTTCCACATGCTCGGGTAAAAGAATAAATGTAAGCAGCAGAATAACCGAGCTTGGGTTTCCCCTGTAAATCTGAAGTAAAACTGTCAAATAATTGCTGAACAGGCTCGGAGTCAGAGAAATTTCCTGCCAGGATGTCGTGTGCAGGTCGATTCAGTTCGTTCCATCCATTTTCTTCTGCTTATCCGGGATCTAGTCACGGGACAGGGGACCGAAGCCCAGACATTCTCCGCGGCCACTATCATATCTGGGGGAACATCGAGGTGTTTCCAGACCAGCTGAGAGATGTAATCTATCCAGCATGTCCTGGCTCCGCCCTCAAAGGGGCAGTTTTCTTTATATAGCGCCAAATTACAATAGGCACTTTTTACTTTTTACTGGACAGTAAAGACGCTACAAACTTTTTAATAGCTACTGTGACCACATCAGTGACAACTGGCTCTGTCACATGACATGCAGATGACTAGTTTTCCAGCGACATTCAGCGGAGTCATTGCTGATATCTCCTCCATCGTAGCCTGATCATACTCGATAATGTGATTTTGGCTGTTTTCACCTTCTTCAGTCTCAGCTCACTGCAGGTTTCCCCAACCTTATAAACAGTACCTTTGCACAATGACTGAAACTACAACCACTGACGAACAATGTGAGGTCAGTTTCTTGATCATAAAAATGCAAATTGTCATGATCATTGATCAATGATCATTCATCAATGGCCATGAGTACCATTCACAGAGAGTTACAGAATGGCTGCAATCACAGCAGAAGGTGAAAGATGTACCCTTAGGCCCCCTCCTCGATTTAGAGATGGATTTCCCTTTTCACGTAAATGGCCTCCTCGACTCCCCACCCAAACCAGTCCAGGATGTGTACATCCTTATCATTGAAGAGTGTCCACTGGTCTGTAGGTGTGAATAGACTGGGGAGTCCTGGCCTGACGAGTTAGATCTTCTGTGTTGTGCCATCTGCTTTGCCCGAGGTTGTTTGGTTTCCCCCAAGTATAGATCCTGGCAATCCTCCTGGCACTTAACAAGCGTACACTATATTACTCTGTTTGTGTTGGGGGACCCGATCCTTGGTCTGGACCAATTTTTGGCGCAGCGTGTTTTGGGGTTCAAAAGCCACAGAGATGCAGTCTTTTGAGAAAATGCATCTCAACTGTTCTGATATTCCTGACAAGTACGGGAACACTAAGGGTTTTTACTTAGACAGCAGTTGTTGTTTTCCTCTTCTTGATCAGCTGGAGCTTTCTTTAGGCGCCTTCCCAGCTTTGTCAAATGTCCAGATGGGTTAACCACATTTACTCAGGGCCTTCTTGACATGATGTTCTTCTCTTCCCTGGCCGCTGTATCTGTGGGGATGGTGTTCGCTCTGTGTTGTCCTGATGACACCCAGTTTGTGTTCCAGTGGATGATGAGAGTCAAACCTTAAATACAGATCCTTATGCGTTGGTTTACAGTACACATCAGCTCTTAAATGTCCCTCATTACTAGGGAT